CGCCCAGGGGCGAGTTAAGAAATCATCTGTCTCATCTGGGGAGGAAAACGGTAATACCACCAATAATAAAATTAGTCCTTATTATTTGCAGTCCCTTGGTTTCATTCACAATAGCACTTCCAGAATAGATGTCTCTTCTTAGAGGGTTTTAGGTAGCTTGGGGAATAAAAATGGGAGACTTTTTACTGTGTCCTTTTGTGTCTCTGAAATGCCAAAATTCTGGACCGTGTGGATGGGTTATCTATTCAAAAATGTAGAAAGGGAATTTTAAACTATTTAAGCATGTCTATAGTTTTCCAACAACCCTAAAAAGTAGGCAGAGCATGCCCACCAATGGAAAAAGTACTGGATAAGGAGACCACTCCTGAGGAGCTTGCTAACTGTGGGTTGCACCCTAAAACTCTAGATCAACTTAGTCAAGTACCAATATTGGGGAAATAATCTTTACAGCATGTGGAAATGAGTGACTACATTTATAATTGGAGATCCTGAACATCAAAGTAAGCCTAAAAGGAATCTTTGAGGAAAAAAGCCTTCTAGGAAGGAAATTCAAGATTCTTACACCTTTGGCTTTAAAGTTCATTTTGGAAGTTAAATGAACATACCTTAGAAGTGTTAAAATGTTTATAAATGTTAACCTATTACATTAACTTTTATTACATGTATTAAGCAATAAGATTGAGGTTTTAAAAAGTTTTACCATTTTGGTACGATTCAGATAGGAAAGTAACTCCAATTTCTTTAAAAACTCAATGAGAATTTTAGATTCCCTAGAACGTAATTATAAAATAAGCAGAAAACTGTTTCTTTGCAAATGGGAAATTGAGGTCAACTTAGTATCAACTGTCTCATGGCATTGTGACTAATGGCGTTAGGGCAAAACTGTATTTGTAGAGCAAAACAATTCAGTAGGTTCTAGTTTTATGAAGGTAGAAAACAAACGTAGTCAACATGTACAGAGCTGGCTGTTGATGCTTCTACCTATAGTTGCTTTCCTATTAATTTACAATTCCTCTACTCTCAAATATATTAAACTTGTTTTTATAATGCAGAAAAAAAAATAGGCAGAGCAAAGATCATTAGTCCCATTTCACAAATGAGCAAGCCTGGGGCTCCAAGCAAGGAAAAAGAACTGGCCATGGCTGCAGCCAGAGCTGGACAGAAGACCCAGACTTCAGATTCCTAATCCAGTGTCCTCTTTCAGGGACTCCCCAGTTTGAAATAACAGCACCCAGATCTGCTCTCCAAGTTCAGGCTGTGTGGCTCAAACCGAATGAATCTTCCCAGGTGGCACATGGGAACCAGTCACCATATACAGAGCCTTACTAACCAGCAGAGCAGGATGTGTGAGCTGTTCAGGGCTGCCTAGATGTCCCGTTAGACCCTGAAACTCTTTGGGGTATCAACCCTTCCTGTTGATGATTTATAAAGTGTCCAAGTCCACATTCTTCTCTTCTCTCAAAGTGTGATGGGCCCAACTGCACTTTTACTAGATTCATTAACTTGCAGAATCTCAGGATCACCATTATGAACTTGGGAGAGACTCAGGAAGGCAGTCAAGTGTAAAAATGAGCACTGGGCTTAGGAGCCAGGCAGATTCTGAGTTCAAATCCTGGTTTTGCCACTGACTAGTGTGTGGCCTTGGGCATGCTGGTCACTTCACTTATTTTGGCCTCTGTTTCCTCTGTACACACAAAAATCAGAGGTACGTATTGAACACCATGTAAGGTAGAGGGGGAGACCAACAAACAAGGTAACTTCAGGTCCTGGTAAGTGCTGTGAACTTACCCCTGAACTTATCCCATAATGGGACAGAGGGCCTGGGAGGCCAGGGAAGGCCTCTTTCTGAAGAGGTGGCATCTGCAGTAGAAGCCGAGTAGGGCAGAGTGTGACAGGCAGAAGAACAGATACAGGGCCTGCAGCAGGCATGCCTGAGGGACAGAAAGGGCTAGTGGGGCTGGAGGGCAGTGACTGAGGAGCGGTGGGAAGGAGATGAAGTCAGCAAGGCAGATGGGGGACCAGCTCTTAGGGAAGGAGCTTGGATATTACTCTGGTCATAATGTGAAGCAGCTATAGAAACAAAGGGGTTTAATTAGATCGGTGATGTACCAAACTTGTATTTTTTAGCAGACCACTTCAAATAAAAACAAGGGGAGCCTCCATATAAAACTAGATAAAAAGCAGCACAGCTCCGGCTTTGTAGCTAAGGCCCTTCTTGAACCTGTGGCCTCTCGGGCTTCTGCCTTCATCCCCCAGCAGCCCCAAGCACCGGAGCTTAGCGGAGCTGGGAAACCACTGGGCCACCTCTAAGCTTCCTCAGGCTCTATGAAAGCTGGCCATACAGCGAGAAGAGGTTTAGGAGATCATGCTGAATGCTTGCTGGACCCCAGACAGGCCTTGGGAAGGTTTTTGTTTTTGTTTTTGTTTTTAACAAAATCCCTGATGTGGACATGCTTTCTGCAGAAACAAGAGAATCTAGCTCATCAAAGGTACCAGTTAAAATCACACTGCTGGACCTACACAGACAGAAAACAGATCAGTGGTTGCCAGGGGCAGGGGTGAAGGGAGGACATGGACACAAAAGAACATGAGGGAACTTTCTAGGGGGAAAGAAATCACTCTACCTTGATTGTGGAGGTGGTTACAGGACTGTACACGTTTTTTCAAAACTCACAGAACTCTACGCCTAACATGGATGAAGTTTTCTGGGTATAAATTAAACTTCAATAAACCCGATTTTTTAAAAAATTCACCTTGCTGGAAGCCACCTCAGAGGTATTTGTATGGATGAGGAAATACACTCAGAGAGCAAAACCCAGCTTGCTTCTGCTGAGTCAGCAAAGCCCAGAAATCATGACGTGAGAGACTGTCCCCACCTGCTACTGCTCAGTTTTAATTCACAGCCTCTTCAGTGCCCCAGTTTTCAGGTGTCTCAGACTACAAAATGAGGAGGTAAGTGATTGCCGAAGGCTTTTCCCCTCCCAACAATCAGATTCTAAGCAGCAGTCTGGTGTAGGGGAAAGATTTCAATGCTGTGGGGTCAGAAAAACTCAAAGAAAAATTCCCACCTCTGTCCCTTCCTAGCTGCATGCCCTGGGACAAGCCTGTCCTGTGTAAGGTGGGGTTAATAACATGAACACAGCCATAAAACAGCTGACACACAACAGCCTCTCAAGAGGGGTGGTTTATAACTGCTAAGGTGTTTACCATACCCACACTGGTCTCCCGAGACTAGTCCCACCTGGCTGCCTCCTGAGAACAATCTGGAGGTGACCAGGAAGGAGGAAAGGAAATCAGAAAGTGCCTGCCCTGCACCACATAACCTGTGCTCAGGTACACAGGACACCCTGGGCTCCACCGAGGCACAGGCTCTTATCTCCCCAAATAAACAGAACACCCTGCCCCTGCCTCCTTGACCACCATCAGCACTGGGCCACCACACGCACTCGGGGCACTCGGGAGCAGGCCCACAGCTTTCGAGAGGAACACTTTCCCTGTGGCTGTTGGCACCATCACAGGGCACAACCCCATCCCCGGGCACACTACACCCAGCCCACAGCCAGTCTCTCACCACCTGCTCTTAAAGGGTGGTCCCGAGTAATGACTCAAAGCCGCCTGCCACACCTTGCTCTTTCTTTCTAGGCCAAGGAGGCCAAAAACACACAGAAACCCAAAAGCCTATTTATAAAAAGAGCCCTTCAGGCAAGGAGTTTCTGTTTCCCGTCACATCTACCCTAGAGACACTGTGGTCATGTAAAGACTGTTGCCTTGCTTTGCCACCATTGTGGGACAGGAGGGAGGCCAACACCCTGAAATTATCCCAATTTTGCAGAAACAAAAACCTAAGTACCTTGGTGAAAACCAAACACGAGCAGGCCTCCAGCAGCGCAGGGCAGCAGGACACTGAAGCATCAGGGTTCAAGGGACTCCAACAGCCCTGGCTCACCTTCTTGAAAACAGGGAGATCACACTTGCACTGTGCTGACCCTGCCCAGTGTTCTTAAGAGCAGTCCTGGAGAGCAGGTGAACTGAAAACCAGGATCCGACAGAAAGGATTTCTTTACACCTCGATTAGGTAAAGGTGCTGAGCGAGAACAATGCTCTATCCCGGCCACGGTCTCTTACTCTGTTAGGGAGGGCTGACACTCAGGTTGAGAAACTCCGATTCATTAATCACAAATATTATTTATCACACCATGGCAGGGCAGTGTGGTAAGTGCATCCTGCTGTTTCTATTCGGAGCCATTACCAAAGCTGGTCTTCTCCCCGACCTTCCGGTATCTATGAAGTTTACAGTTTCTATTAAACTCCAGCTGGGGGAGGGAACCCAGAGCTGGCCCCAGTCGAGTAAAGTTCCACCACCAGGTCCACAAAGAGACTGCAGGGAGGCGTGGCCAGGCCGGAAATTCTGACAAAGTTTTGCCCCTCCGCTCTTAGAAGCAACTACTTCCTGATCCCTCATAGTGATGGGGGGGGGGAGGGCGGGCGTAAGGTGTAGTTTTCCGTACGGGTTTCCCACCCGAGAGCCAAGCTGGGGGCTTCGGCCTCAGTGGAGGGTCAGGCCAGCCAAGCGCCCTTCTGTCCCCCGCACTCCGGGCGCTCTGTAACCTTTCAGTGGACAAGTTATTTTGGAGCGAAGTCCCCCGAGTGTGAGCCGGGGAGGGCAGACCGTCGTCTCCTCCGCACTAACTCCGGCACACACACACGCGCACACATCCCCCCAAAGCCCGAACTCTGCGGACTAAACCTGACCCAGACCCCAAGGCCCAGGCCTGCTCCGACAGGAGGAAGGGAAAGCAGAAGCAAAAGGGATTTGCCAGAAACCTCAGAACAATCTCGGGCGCTCGCAGAGGCCTGAAGCTCAACTAGCCCCCGCCTCCGCTGAAGGAGAACCTTCCAGCGGCCCGGACCGACCCCTACTGCTCGTCGGAGCCCGGGTGGCCCGCTGTCGCAGAGGGCCAGGCCACCCCGGCGCGGCGACCCCAGGCCAGGCCACCCACCTTGACCCGCTTGCCCTGGATCTCCAGCGTCTTCATGGTGAAATCGACGCCGATGGTGCTGCCCTGACGCTCAGAGAAGGAACCTGTCTTGAAGCGCTGCACCACGCACGTCTTGCCCACGCTCGCATCACCCACCAGCACCAGCTTGAACAGGAAATCGTACTGCTCGTCCGGATCCCCCGGGCCTGGACCCGGCCCCGCCATGGCTGCACGGGAGCCGAAGAGCCGGCGCTCGAAACGATGGGGGCAGCCTGGGATCACGGAAGCTGCTGGCCGCCTGGCGACGTGGAACTGCCGCAACACCTGAAGCAGGGGCGCAGCCGACTGCCGGTCCCGAGCCCTCCCCGGCCGGCCCACCGTCCCACCCCTAGCCAGTCGGAGACCGGCGGGCCTCGGCTCCACCCCGGACTAGCCTAGTCCGGCCCTCCGCAAACCTCTCAGCCCGCCCCCAGATCCGCGCCAGGCCAGTCGGGCCCTCAGGCCTGCCCCGCGCCCCGCCCTCGGGCCTGCCCCCGCCAAGTTCCGCCCTCCGCACCGCCCCTATCAGACTCCGCCCTCAGCACGTTCCCTGCTTGACTCCGCCCTCGGCACCTCCCACAGCACCGCCTCAGCCTGACTCCACCCTCAAAGCCTTGGGCCCGCCCCATCCGCACGCCCTGTCAGCACACCCTAACCGACAGACTCTGCCCTCAGCACCGTCTTCAGGCCCACCCCAACAGACCCCGCCCCCACACTGGCCTCAGCACCGCCCCCGCCAGACTTCCCCGCACAGCTCTCAGCTCCGCCCCCCGCCCGACGGCGAGCTCCGGGCTGCCCTCGGCCCTTCTACTCTCCACTCCTAGGCCCCGCCCACTACCGACTCCGCCCACAGCACTGCCACGCCCTTACCGCCTATTTATACGGCCCTCTGTACCGTCCCGTGTGACCCAGGCTTTCCTACCTGCTGCTCGCTCACACCCAGGTTCGGGGGAATGGTGAGGCTTTCTGGGCCTGCAGGCCTGGGGTGACGACCACGGCCGTGTCACCTCAATAGGGCCAACAATGCAGAATCCCTGTAGCAGGATGGGCTAGGTGGTAACATTTTCCCACACTGAGAAAGAGAAAGGCCTGGCAGCACACTGCCAGGAGGGACAGAGGTGGCTTCAGTGAGGTGTGACCCCCCTCAGGACTCTGGGGAGAGGGGAATCATCCCCACTGGGAAGGCTAGGTCACGAGGAGTTGGAGATCCCAAATCCAAAAGGCGGCCTCGCAGTGGTTGAAGCAGGTTGAAATAGCCCACGATAGGCTGGCTCATTTGCAGTTATAGGCCCAGCTGAGGGAACACACCCAGCCAAAAAGCACCAGATTGGCCTGAAGCAGAGGGACGAGGGAGGGTCGAGGCAGTTCTGTGGACCAGACCAGCTTCCTGATGGCCCTATTGAACCGGTGGGGTGGGTGGGGGAGTCTTCAGAGAAATGAGGCCCAAAGGGCTGTCAGTAGCTTAAAATGGATCAAAGGGTACCTAAGCTCCTAAGGGCCTCCCAGCTACCAAGATGAGAATACTGTCCTCAAAGGCAGACCATGGAGAAGGTAGAGGATTATTTGTTCTGGGACAGTCTGAACTCCACTTCCAAGAGAAATCCCAACTGCACTAGCCAGGACCCCCCAACGTGCCACAGAAAAGCAATACTGGAAGCCCAGCTTTACTACATTGGACTGGAGCAGCAGGAAGGAGCCTCCATTTCAAGACAAAGCAGACCAAAGGGTATAGGATGAAAGGCTTCTGTGCGCTGGGATTGGCTCTGGGAAGGTGGAACACGTCAAAGCCGAGCCCCAGAATACATCTGCCTCCAGCTCGGAGTGGCTACCCACAGCACAAGGTGGAGAGGGGGAAGGGAAAGGTGAGTGAAGGAGCCAGGATGACCAAGGCTCTCACCATCGGAGGCACTGGAAAGGAAGGAGGAATGTTGACAGCTGGGGTGGACAAGCGGCTGGATAGCTGAACTGGGCTTTCCATTGGCCTTGCCTGGAATTGCTTTAGGGTGGGGATGTGTTGGTCTGGGTATGGATTTTTCCAGGAAGCCCAGCCACCACTTCATTTGTAGGGTGATGGCAATGTTCTAAAACTGGACTACTGTGAGGGTTGCATGACTCAGAACATTTATTAAAATTCTCTAATTGTACACTTACAGTGGATGGATTTTACGGTATGTAAATTATATCTCAATACAGCTATTGAAAGAAACACCAGCATTTCCTCTATTTTCGTGGTAAATTCCTGAATAGCATAGTGGCATTTGATCTGAAATTTAATTATGTTCATTTGAAATAGAACAATTCAAAAATATTGGTGATATCTTACTTAATGCCCAGAATTTGATACAATGCACATTCCAAATTTTTTAGTGTGTCAAGAATTTAATATTCTTAAAGCTAGTGTGGGTGGGCTAAGTGCAGTATACCTGTGTTTGTGCTATTGCCACACGGTGGCACCATCCTGACAAACTGAAGCATGTGCTGTAACCCAGTGTTCGTGGATCAGAACTCCTCCAAGTGGTTAGAAAAACAAGTGCCCTCTTTTTCCTCCTTCCTTCCTCCTTCCTTGTCTTTTTGTTTCTTTCCGGAGTAACCACAATTTAAATATACAGCCTCTAGGTATTATGCTCAGTGAAATAAGCCAGGCAGAGAAAGACAAGTACCAAATGATTTCACTCATATGTGGAGTACAAGAACAAAGGAAAACTGAAGGAACAAAACAACAGCAGAATCACAGAACCCAAGAATGGACTAACAGGTACCAAAGGGAAAGGGACTGGGGAGGATGGGTGGGAAGGGAGGGATAAGTGGGGGGAGAAAGAAAGGGGGCATTACGATTAGCATGTATAATGTTGGGGGGGCACAGGGAGGGCTGTGCAACACAGAAGACAAGTAGTGATTTTACAGCATCTTACTACACTGATGGACAGTGACTGTGAAGGGGTATGTGGGGGGGACTTGGTGAAGGGGGGAGCCTAGTAAACATAATGTCCTTCATATAATTGTAGATTAATGATCAAAATAAAATTAAAAAAAATTTTTTTTAAATAAATAAATATACAGCCTCTAATATCACCCCGCTTTCTTTGGCAGTGCCCAGGCTAGTGCTGAAAATGTGCCATCAGAAATAAAGGTGGGAGAACAGCAGCCCTTCAAACTGCCAGTTTCCACGGCATGACCCAGCCAGAGGGACCTGGGAGATCTGCCCTCCCCGCCACGAAACCAGTGCCTGTGCTTCCCCACAGCAGGCCTGCCCCTCCCACTGCAGCCCAGGGGGTCTGAGGCAAGAGGAGAAAGGTTTTTGTCTCTTCCTTGTTTATAAATTGCCCAAGAGCAGGAGCACACAGGGTCAGGGGCAGAGTGCAGGGGGAGGAGAGCAGTCTGAGGCCCGGGTGGGGCTGGCGTGATAAATCTCACAGCAAAACAGGAGGAAGGGTGATGTTTTCGACTCACAGGAGCACTGGTGAGGGAAAGGGAAGAGGGCTATGGAAATGTAGCTATGAAAGGTCACTTTTTTGGAAACTGCAGGCAGAGCCAAAGCTAATATAAACCATGAAACAGATTTTTGTCAACCAAAGGCTCTTAAGATTGGTTTGTCACCTCTGAGCAATGAGCTAGGCCAAAGTGATCTCACCCCATCAGTGGTTAAACACACAGAGGTCACACCTCTGCTGTTTCAAGCCTAGGGCAGGAGCCCTACAAAGATCTGCCTCCTGGGGTCCCTGGCACACAAGTAGCCAGGGCCTGCGGGCCAGGAAGAAGCCTGGGATTGGGTCCCACATCCGCCAGGGACACCTGTAGGATGTCAGGCCTGATGCTTCTCCACTCAAGAGCCTTGGTTTCCTCAAATTCAGGACTCTAATTCCTGTCCTGCCTGCATCTCAGGAAGCCACCAGGAAATAACCAGGCAGAGAGGAGCCTCGTAAACAGGCTGGAACAGCGGGCTCCTGTTTCCATCTGTGTCCCCAGCAGTAGAAGCCTCAATTCCACTGACTGAATGAGGAGGCCCTAGAGCCCTGGGCATCCCAGATGGCCCTCCATCTGTGTCCCCAGCAGTAGAAGCCTCAATTCCACTGACTGAATGAGGAGGCCCTAGAGCCCTGGGCATCCCAGATGGCCCACACACCTGGCACTCGCCAGCAACTACCTCTTCCAGGGAGAAATGCCTGTTGTTTGAGTGTCCTGCTCTTACCCAGGGCCCTGTGCCCCAGCGTGCCCACATGTGCCCCTTCGAAGAAAACCCCAGAACTAGGCCTGTCTGAGCCGGGCCCCGTGTCCCCTGAGGCTCAGACCAGGGAAGTCTGACACAAGGCATCCCGTCCCACTCACGTCCCTCTCATCCCCACAGCTCAGAAGTCCCCCCCCTGGTCACCTTCCTCCCTGGGCCCCTGCCCACCCCCTGCAGCCTCCACCTGCCCTGCTCCTGCCTCCTGTCTCCACACCTGGCTGCAGGGAGCCTCCCAGGGTAAGCTACGCACTGACCAGGCCACCCCCTTGCTCCGACCCTGCTAGGCTCCCTGCTGCCCTCAGGCCCCCCAAGAGGCCAGCACCATCCAGGCCCGGCCGCTTTGTCCCTGACACTGGCCATCCCCAGCCCCGCGCGGCTCTGCCATTTCCTGTGATGCTGCTTCCCTGGCAGGCAGACCCTGACCTGCCTGAGGAGCAGAACCGCTCCGGGTGGGGGGGCCTCTCCCGGCAGGGCCTCTGGTTCCCAAGCACTTTGCTGGGACCTTGCCCCAAATGACAGCCGCCTGTGCCTGCCACTGACTCTGACACTCTGGGGGGCCCCTCCAGGGGGTGGGGGCCCCACTACTGCCTAGGGGGGCTGCATCCTGTGCCAGTTCTCCCCCTGGACCCACCTCACGCTTCCACCACCCCGCATTCCAGGTGCTCACCAACCACCTCTTCCAGGCATGGTGAGCTCTGCCCACCCACCTCAGCCCCCAAGTGAGCCAAACCAGGCCCACTTCTCTCACACTCAGGCTGCTGTTTAGGGGTCTCTCCATCGCCTCAGGACAGGCAGCCACGGAACAAGCTACAGACATGGAGGTTTCCCTTCGTATAAAAATTTTTAATAAAAATAGCTCCCTGAAGAACCAGTCATAAAGCAGAAATAGCAGACTCTGACCTGGCCTCCTGGGGAGGAGGGAGTGAGGCAGGCTGGCCAGACCAGAGAGATTGAGAGCAGTGCCTGCCCACAGGGACAGCTGTGGTTGGCTGTTGACATGCGGGATGTGGGCTTAGAGTTAACACCATCTTCTCATTTTTCAGGAGATACAAATATGTCTTTTTAGTAAAAACTGCACTTTTTGAGTGGTGGTCACTAATTTATCACCTTCCCCCCAAATGATAGAAGGCTA